CCTATTTTACTGTAGAGATAGAAGATGTGTGTGTGTACATATACACATCTACATATTTTCTAGCTGTGTTCATTGGGAGGGCTTAGAAGCAATGATACCCTAGAATATCTAACATCCACATCTTAGTTTCTGCTTAATTATCTATGGTTCTTGTGTTAAGCAGTTACCTCTGTGGTGGTTCCAAAATGATGATTTGCTAATGCCATCATTATCTTCTACATTAGTTGATATTTTGCTGTAATGAGGAATTTATTCATTCATGCATGCATGCATTCACTCATTTTTTGTCAGCATAGATTCAGGGACTCTGATCTATAGTTTATAATATATTACTATACTAATTTTGTTACCCAAATGGTCCTATATTCAGTCAGTGTGAGCCCCTTCTAGCTGGCTCCTGAATTCTCTTTGGTAAACCTCCATTGTTTTTTGGACATCTAAAAATTTTCTGGCATAAGAAGGTGTTCTGGGTTCATTTTCATGCTATTTCATCTGATACAAATGCTAAGTATGACTTGCATGTGATCATCTTTCCAATTTTATCTTAAATGTTTTCTCTTAAAATAGACCTATTTTCATCATTTAATCTAAGCATCTCCCTTCTTCATTCCCTATTGCAACACTCCTTTAACCTTCACAGCCTTTACTTATTAACATTAGATTAATTCCCTCAACAAATATTTATTTAACACCAACTAGAGCCAGACAGTGTACTAGACTTTGTTTATTGTCTTTCGTAACATGTTATGTTCATTTTATTTACCAAGCATATCAACGTCCAGAACATAACAGGTCCTAAATAAATATTCATTGAATGAATGAATGAAATGACCTGATACTAAATCCAATAAGAAATTTTTAGATGGTTTGAGGGGAAAAAAAGGAACAGGAAAATATATTATTCTGTTAGACAAATTTATCTCAAACTTGCCTTATTGTTTTAGTACTTAATTTGCTTTAGACACATACATGGACCCCCAAATTTAGGCAATAAAAATAAGCTTGTCGTACAAAAGTCATTAAATATATTATTTATAAAATTACTGATGTAGGTCCACAATACATTACTGAAAACTCTTGAGAACAGGTATACTTTAATATTATTTTAAGATTCTTTAAGTGAAATTAATAAAAGGTATGTTCCTTATATTATGTAACATTGTCAATAGGGTAAGGGCAATACCCTATAATAAATGCTAAACTTCCTATAGCAAAGACTCATACCAAGTAGGATTGAGAAGGATAAGCTTTCCTATTTTTGTTCAGGTCAAGTTCTATCATTAAATGGATTTTCTATGAAGCTATTTTAAAAATTGATATCTTTGGATTTGGAAATAGCAGATAAGGACTGTGAACTTAAAATCATACAGTTTTCTACAATAATTCAATGCAGTATTTCTCCAAAATGTGTTTCTTTTAGCTTGATTTTTATACCTAGGCAGTTTCTTCCTTGTTTTAAATCCCACTTAATTAAGAATGCTATTTGACAAATGAGGTCACCGGGATGACAGAACTACTTACCTGCAGATGTCCTTCATTTTCACCTGTAGCTGTTAATCCATAAGCACTGATCACAGGCTGTGTCCAGTCCACATCTGTGGGACAAGGCATGTGTTTACCGCACTGTCTTTTCTTCCTGAGAAAACAGGAAGACTTATTTCCCAGCGTCCATGGCGAGTATGTCTGGGTAATAAGATATTACCAGCCAGTAGAGTACAGATAAGAGGGATAGGAGCCATTTCGAAGACCATCTCTTACAAACACAATCCACAAGACCTTTCAGCTTTAATTTCCTATTCTATAGAAGTCCTGGATTACATGTGTTCCAAATCATTCAGCCTATGCAATGGAGGAAGGCTGACATGGAGGGGGGGCTCTGATGTGACTGAACGGTAAACTTTCACAAGGTTAAGACACTGATTTCAGGGATATGTTTGTCACATCAACACAATTCACAATGTAATCTTCTCCCTGCATGAAAATCAATCCTACATGAAAATTGAGGCGTGAGACCCCAAAGATGGAGCAAAAACTGACCAGGCAATTCTTCCTTACGTACGACTCTCCTGTATACCACACGGTAACTGGCTAGTCGTGCAAGACTGTGGACTGAAGTGTCAGCTAGCAAGTACTAGTGATGACAACTGCCTTTCAACCCTGACTGTCAATAACCCTTGATCAAGACATTTTGCTAATAGCTCATTCAGCTTTCTTTCTGAGTTTCTCACCTCCAGTGTCCTTAGCTTCTCTGAGCTGCTCTGCCCCGGGTTTTTCTCCAGAACACCAGCATCTCACCCAGCCAGAGCCCAGTAGGGCAGGGGAGTTAATGCCCCCCAGAGCAACTCAACTACAAGATGGCGAATCAGCGACTGAGAAGTCTAAACCTTCTGTCATGTGGTGGGAAAATTCCGAGGTTCATGCTACACAGTTCACTAGAGGATCCCAGTAGGACTGAGTTATGCTTTCCAGAAGATCAGCCAGATTCAATGACATACCCTTCACTGTCCTTCTAACCTCCTCACCCTTTCTGCTTCTATACTCTGGCTTCCTGGGATTACCTCCCAAAATGAATGGCCTGTTTTGGGGAGAAACAAGCTAATTCGGTACTTCTGTGTTGAATTTATCTATAAATTCAATCCATTTCATTCCCAATTGGTTTATTAAAAAGGAATTTTGTATTGTTTGCAAAGGATGCAAAAACAGACATTAGTCAAAACAGACAACAAACTAGTTATTGAGGTACTAGGGAACAGATTTCTGACCCAGTGAAATCCACTTTTAAGGCTGGTGCTTTTCTGTTTGGGCTTCTTTTATGTACAATCCTCACCAAAAATCATGTATTCTAGTACGGAGAGAATCATAGTCTGTATTTTCAATGGGAGCCCTATTCATTTCTTATGTTCATGGCATTGTTTTGAATTATAGTATGTGTACCTATTGGCATAAGGTGCTTATTTTTTTATCACTTTTTTCCTTCAATGAGCCATTTTTGAACCATTGATCCACATTTGTGATTGGAAATGTAAAGCAATATTATAATGATCAGCAGGAGCCTCTGAAAAGTAGATGTTGAAACGGAATTGCAAGTTCAAATGTTTATTGGGACCTAAGCTGTGAAAGAGGGGATGGAAGCAGAACTGGGCAAGGAAACTCTTCAACCTCAGGGAAAATCTTCAACTCAATGATGGGAATCTGACATCTCTGAAAGGAAAGTGGGTGGAGAGGGAGCAGGATTGGGAAGGAGGTCATCTGACTACAACACACATCTGACAAAGTCACAGCCAACCCAATAGAAAGCTCCAAAATAAAGATTTCCCACTCCAGTATTCTTACCTGGAGAATCCCATGGACAGAGGAGCCTGGCAGGCAACAGTCCATGGGGTCACAAAGAGTCGGACATGACTGAGCGCGTGCACACACACACACACACACACACACACACACACACACACACCAGGCCCTGGACTCAGATCATGCTCAGTCACGGCGGGAGGACAGCTGCCCAGGAAGGCTCTGCCTTTCCTCAAAGGCCAAAGGCAGATCCTGAAGGTGCTAACAACTGGAAGCTCTCAGCTAACCACTCTCCTCCCAGCTGAATGGCAAATTCTTTCCTGAAAGAAGATCCAAGCAGCATGCCACCATGGCTGCCATGATATTAACAAATATAAACATCAATATGAAAACTATGTGATAAATTACCTACGATGAACTGCAGCCTATTAATGGAACGTAAAGTGAGATGATCTAACCACAGAAACCCTTGTTGCCCATGTATGATCTTTTAAAACGTGAGATTTATTAATAACATAGTAAGATTTCAAAAAAAACATAAGTAACATTTTGATTTTGTGAAATGTGAATAAAATACCATCCCTGCCTTTTTCTGTCCATTGGATTCTGGCGAGCACTCAACCTTATGTACCCTACCCTTTTGCTAGCCATTGGAGGGATAACTGTAACACAAACTGTAGCTGATTCATGAGTGTTCAGGGCTTCCCAGGTGGTACTAGTGGTAAAGAATCCACCTGCCAATGAAGGGGACACAGGAGATGCAGGTTCAATCCCTGGGTAGGGAAAATCCCCTGGATGTGGAAATGGCAACCCACTCCAGCATTCTTGCCTGAAAAACCCCATGGACAGAGGAGCCTAGCAGGCTATAGTCCATATAGAGTTGTAAGAGTCAGACATGATTAGTGACTAAACCACCAACACCACATCCTGTTAACTCCCAGGAAGGTGTGGTTGGGAGAAGTTTCCATGTCAAGGACAAGATAGAGTATGCCCCTCTAAGTGGAAGACAAGTCTTGCACACAACACTGATAGGAAATCTTTTTGGATTCTGGAATCAGATTTACATAGCATTTGTGTACCTCTGAGCAATTAATTAATAGGTAACACAGAAATCTTCCCAGAGAAGATTAAGAGATTTTTCCAGATGGTCTAGACCACAAGGTTTCCCAGACAGCCTATGAGCTTGTCTGATGGACACACTGGTCTAATAGTGTCCACGATGCATGAAGCAGGCCAATATGTTATAAAGACACTCTGCTAAGCCTTGAAAGTAGTGTTCCCACAGGAGATCCTGGGGTTTTGGAGCTAATTCATGTTATTATCAGCAGGTAACTATTCTCTTTTTGAGTAACAACTCCTGGCATACTTCTAAAACCAAATATGTGATTATAGAGTCAGGGCAAGTATGCCGTCTGGGCAGCCCTTCATGAACTGTAGATCTGAACTGTCAGATCCAAAGAACCACATTTACTCTAAAACACTCCAAGAAGTAGTTTATAAAAGAACAAGCTTTACAGGCCACAAAGGTATTTAAGTAAATGTGTTACTCACTTGGAACACAGAAGCATACATTTATATATTACAGGAAGTGCTTAATAAAAACCTCATTAAATAAAGAATAAATAGGTGAACCTGTCCCTAGCAATGAAAGATTCCCGCTGTACAGGTGGCAATCAAATAGTTTTGAAGTAAATCTTGCCAGACATCAGGCTTCATTAATAATATTTATTTTAAAGGTCACTTTTATTGTAACAAATATAAAGTCATCAATGTTTTACAAATTGTCAAAAATGCCTTAAGTACAAAAAAAATTAGTAAAATGAATGTTATACTGTATATTATTTGGTATATACTTAATACTGTCAACATGCATACCATATGTCAGAAAAGCTCATGCATTATTGGAAGAGAGAAAAAAAATAAAAGTGCTATATTAAGACTTCCCAGGTGGCTTAAGTAGTAAAGAATCCACTTGCAATGCAGGAGATGTGGGTTCAATTCCTGGGTCGGGAAGATTCCCTGGAGGAGGGCATGACAACCCACTCTAGTGTTCTTGCCTGGAAAATCCTATGGACAGAGGAACCTGGTGGACTACAGTCCATGGGGTCCCAAAGAGTTGGACACGACTGAGTGACTGAGCACTCATGCACGCAAAGCAAAAGTGCTATATTGTCTGATTACAAATTCATTGCTTCAGTTAGTTTTCTTTCTTCAGGAATACCATTTACCTGCAATGTGTAAGAATGAATATGAGTGTGAGTTAGACATGGACAAGTTTTAGACTTTGAGCAAAACAAATTATGGCAAGGCGTAATTTTCTATCTTCTTAACATAATTATGTTGCATTATTTCTTTGCATTTGGTTTTCAACAACAAAAAAACACAGGAAAGTCTAAATTAGTCCTCTCCTTCCTGGAGAAGGAAAAGGCTACCCACTCCAGTATTCTGGCCTAGAGAATTCCATGGACTATATAGTCCCTGGGGTGGCAGAGAGTTGGACACGACTGAGTGACTTTCACTCTTGGGTCAAAGTTACAATGTTTTATATTTCTCAAAAGGTATGGTCTGAAAATTCCTCCGATATTAAACAAAAAGAATGAGTTTTGACTGTGGGATGCTTGACTGCATCGTTACGGCTCTTTAGAAAAAATCATGTGGGTAGGTAGGACAGAGAAAGTGAGAGAACCTGAAGGGACACTGGAACTGCTGGCTTGGGCCTGGTCTAAATGGCAGTACTACTGTCAGCTCTTAAATGCTCTATTATTTGAGCTGGCGCTTAAGTTCAGGATTACAACCCCAGCAGTTAGTTCATTTCTTAAAGTTCTGATGATCTTTTAAGAGAAAACAACTAACAAAGGAAAACAAACTTTAAAGTACACTCTCCATTGGCAAATTCCATAGAGGAAGCTCAAATAAAATACTTTGATATCCAAGCGACAAACACTGTGCTTAAATGACCTTCAGAAAGAAAACTGTGATCCCAACATAAGGCTTTGAGGTACTTGCAGAAATCAAATTATGTAAACCCTGCACAAATGTTGCTGCCTCCTTGCGATACTAAGATAGCCAGGATGGAGGGACAGAAAAGTTGTTATGCCCATGAAAATACTGAAAAATCCAGAGCACTGAATCTATGCATGTGCACACAGAATGGAATAAAATTGAGAAGCAAACTATTTTCTCATTCAAATAAATAGGAACGGAATAAGGAGTGTAATGTGCCCATTTAGCTCTTCTCTCCAGGAGTCACAAGTCTATTTGGTATTACACTTATCAGAGGAAGAAACACAACAATCTATCATAATTATAAAAGATGCTAGGGTGGGTTCTCTCCCTTTAGCATTTAGGTATTTTGGGGACTCACTGAAAACGAAAACAAGTCGAAAAGAACCAAGAAGAGATGGTGCAATAATATACCCCAAATTACAGAAAAATATAAGAAAACAAGAAGGTAATAGGCTGTAGTGTTAACTAAAAAGGAGATGAAAGCCTTCCTGACTCAAGCAAAATGCTTGTTTCCCAAAACCTGTTTTAGAAAAATAACTTAGAAAATTAGGTTGAACAACCTAAAATCCCCCTGGGGAAATTCATTGGCTCTTATAACACTTGCTCAGGCATAATCTGTCTTTTTATTTGGAAATGGTGTCTATTACTAAAATGTAGCAAGCTAACAAGTCTACTTGCTAAAAATTTATGAAGAAGTGAAGTCGCTCAGTCGTGTCCGACTCTTTGCGACCCCATGGATAGTAGCCTGCACCAGGCTCCTCCGTCCATGGGATCTTCTAGGCAAGAGTACTGGAGTGGGTTGCCATTTTATATGACTATTAAATAAATCTCTCTAACATCATATACTTAGGTTTCCTTATTTCCCCCAATGGAAGGGGAGAGAAGTAAAATTTAGATTTTTTTTTATATATTCAAAAGAACTATCTACTATTTTTGTAGATATGGTCTTCCTTCATTCCTTGTCTGAAATAATTAAGAAACAGAGGAAAGACATCTTAGGAGAGATCGAAGCCTGAGGTTAATGAGGAAGAAGTTCTAGCATTTCCACTGTAGAAATACCCTTTTAAAATTTTATCTCTTGAAAAAAAAAGTCATGAAATTAGTGGAAGTAAGGAGTCATTTATTTCTTTGCTCTTTAGACAACACACATTTATAGCAGTTTGTTCCTTCATCAATCACCTGAATGCTCACATGGTAGAATCACTGCATCAATATATTGAACAGTCTTGTTGAAACATGTTAACATTTAATTAAAACAAAGCAATCAAAATTGTGGGGAAAATTCGTATAAACGTTATCTCATGCTTAAAATCTGATGAACAGCTTCATTATACTTGCCTCAAATCTTTGAAAAGTTGTCAAACGAAAATCTCCTTAAATTCCCGAAAGCATTAATAGAGAAGATAATTTTTTGAATGAAAATATGCAGATTTTCTATATGTGCCTAAAGTTTTAATGAGACTTACTTAATAGCTTCCCCACCACAATACCACTATTCATACTCAGAATTCCACATCCAACTTACAGTTTTAAAACTTCTCTTGCTTTTCCAAAAGAGCTACAAAGGCATTACTGGTTGCTTGGCAATTAGAACTAGGAATCAACCACTAATTAGAAGACAATCATGAATAAGTTATCTACTTGGTACAGAGATGAATGAAATAATTGGCTGTGGAAAATTTTTAGGGACACTTGAAAGAAATAAACTTAAAGAAAGCAAGTCTTAGGGAAATAGAATAGTCCAGGGAGAATTGTCCGCCATCTTGTTATTGGTCATGTTATAACAGCTTTTTAAAGCTGCATTAAAACCAGGCCAACCATTTCTCCTTTATCCCCCTGAAGCCTCAGTGATTAGTCACAATGGTTTTCTTTTGTAAGAGTCAGTTTCAAGCTGCTCACTTACTGAGACAAATCCTGGAAGCATCCAAGCTAAGAATCTTTCATACCAAGGGGAAGAATAGGGAGCTTCGCTGAAGGAAGGGGATTTTATTCAGTCTTCCTTAATTAGACAGGACCTCCATGGACGCTTTTGCTTTAAGATCATTTACTCTATGTTTATCACTCTGATGCCAATCTATGCAATAATCTAAGCTATTATTCTGAGGTTCTAACTCTGATTAAAGAATGACACAACTGTTTTGTCTTACTTGGTAAAGCTAAAGCTTCATAAATTATCTACTACTAAAACAATCTTTTAATCTATTACCTTCATTAATAAACATCAACTTACTACTTTTAGTACTCACCTGTGGTCTGCTGTTGGGGAATTTGAGTCTGATGTGGCAAGTTCCTAGAAATGATTAACATTTTTTAGTAAAACTGTTTTTATCCACACACATGTAAACAGAGAGCAGACACATTAGAATGAAAAAATTTACAGCTAGAAAGGACCCCAGAAATCATCTAATCCAGCACAAACATGGTCCCCCAACCCTCACAAGTTTATGGATGAGGAAACCGAGGTCTGAGAAAGATGAGTAATGACAATATTTGACAAGATTCAAGGAGCTTCTACTACCTGTTAAACTCTGTCTCACAAGAACACAAGGAGGTAGGTATCAATATTATTTTTCCCAACTTACAGATGAGGAAATAGGCTTAGATGTCCAAGGCTACATAGCTAGGAAGTGGTAGATAAACATGTGAATGCAGGGGCTCCTGGCCATGTGCCTATAACCTGTATAATTTCAGATCCAGGTCTAGATCACATGTACACACTCACAAAACAACATGTATCACCATCTTCCATCACTGTGCCAAATCTGTGCTCCTCCATCCAACTCCCAGGAAATGACACTGGCTATCCACCAACTGGACAAGTCAAAAGTACAGAAGTCCTCACTGACTATCATTCAGTCCCCACACCCAAACACTTGGGAACCCTTCATGAGTCTCCTTGGTCTCCTGCGAATCTGTTCACGTCTTCTCCATCTCTACTGCTGCCTTGGTGGAAGCCATCACCATTTCTCATTTGGATCTTTGCAACTGGTCTGAATTGTTTCCTCATTTGCATTCTTGCTTCTTTATCATCCACTGTGCACATTGCAGTCAGATGATCTTCCAAGGCACCAATCTGACTATGTCATTCAAATGAACACATATCATTATTTGTTTACACCTACCTGTGAACTAAGTTTCAGGCTTCTTAGTGTGGTATAGAAGTCCAACCCAATATATCTAGTTCCTATATGGAGCCCTCCCTGCACCGCTTGAAATAGAACCACCACCACCATGGCCTCTATTATCTCTTGCCGCCAACTAGCTTGCATTTATCCTTGCAAACTCAACCCAAAATCTGTTAGAGTGGCCTCTTGTTACTCCCATAATTTAAAGTGTCCCACAAGGAATGTTAATTAAAATATTTAACTTATTACTTTTAATTTATAAAGTAACATCTCAAGTACCACCTCTTCTATGCCTCTTTCCTCTCCAAGAATTCCTTCCCCAATTAGGTTACCATTCATGAAAGCATACACATGCTGACTGTCATTGTATTTCTCCTCACTTAATATTTAATTGCCCCAAAGTGCCTTACAATGAGAATGTTCCTATCTTGTATATAGCTAGCAGTAAGCATACAACATTTGAATGAACACATACAAAAATGAAGATACTTAAAAAGATTCACATAATGTACATGTTCACTGACACACATTCACCCACTCATTTTCATATTTTGATATGAAAACTAGTTTACAACAATGCACAACTTAGATTATGTGTAGAAGAAATTCTAGGAGTCAATCTTGCAACAGGGTAGGGCTTGATCTAAGCCAGGGATTTTCAAGGTTTTTTTGTTTCTCTTCAGGAATGGAATTCCTTTTAATTGAAATCCTAAGCAGAACTCTTGATGTACAAAAGAGATAAATGTGAGGTTGCCTGGGTTGAAACAAGGGAACCAGGAATGCCGCCTCCTTTGTTTTCTTTGCCATCTCATGCTGGCCCCTAAGGCATTTGAAAGAAATCTCCAAGAAACAGAGTTTGAAAACCACTGATCTGAATCATTTCAGCCAGGCAAATATTATGCTCCAAATACAAGGACCTAAACTGGAAAACAGTACATGCTAGTTAAACATTGTTTAAACTCTTAAGCTAATCCATAGGAATGTTAATGACTTCAAGTGATTTTTTTTTTTTAAATTTCAGTTCTATTTAAAAGATATGGTTAAGGAAATAAAATCAAATTTAATTCAGTTTGAAGAAGTTACTTTATAATTCATCTCAATAATCACATTCTTTTTTTTTTTTTTGCTATTACCTACCAGCCCTATTTATCCCTGTGAGGTCTCAGGGAGTATTTTCCTTTGTTTAATCTTTCAGTACTTCATACAAGGTATTTATAGTGCTTTTGATCACAAAAGTAAAAAGATGAATTTACAAATTACAGAAAGTACATTAAGTTATAGATTTAAAGAGGGAAAAACAAACATCTTTACTACCAAAGTCAAAAGTGCAATTTCATTGGTATTTGGGAAGGGGATATTTGCCCCTTCAAGGGGAAACAAGAGTTCTGTTTTAACATCTCAGGTACAACTAACTTTGGGTCTATTCTACATTAGAAACAAATACAATACCACACACACACACACACACACACACACACACACACACACTTTCTCATTTCCTATCATCTCTAGCTCTATTTAGCCTATTCATGGATTTCATCAATACATTTTGACAAAACAGAGACACCATATAGGACAAAAAAAGTCTCAAAAACCCTAGATAAAGATAACCAAACTCAAAACTCAGGCTGTGAATGAAGTAGCTGTCCCCCACTCCTAGCCCACTCATTGGCCAGCCCCCTTACCCTTCTGTGGGACACAGTTTTCAAACCATAGATCAGAGTGAACCTATGCCCTGTAATTTCTTCTCCAGCCATCATTTTTCCCCCTCTTCTGCTACGACTTTCTAAATAGCAAGGGGCTTGGCTAGGTTTGAAGAGAACTGGTTAGCTGACAAAGTGCCACACACAAATAAGGAAAAAATTCAGAGAAGTATGAGCAATTGTGTGCGCTACATTGGTTCAGAGATTTAAAAGTATCTGCAGAGTGTGTCCCAATTGGTTAACGATGTACATATGCTCCTTGCAACTTCAATGGAAACTTACATGAGTTGTATATATATAAGCACAGTGTATATAAAAAGGTGCTCAACAAAAAATGTGTGGAGATTCAACACCCTCTGTCTCCAAGCTGTATACACATAACTGATTTTGAGGTTGTCCAAGCTTGTGGCTACATGTGAGCCTGTGAGTATTAATGTACCTATGATGGGCATATTTGAAGTACATATTTTATTTAAAGGCTGAAGGGAGGTACCTCATAACAGTGCTGCTTCAGGCATACTGAAAAAATGCCCACTACTGACTATGCTATAGCTGAGCAGAGAATGCAGTAAGAAAATGGAAACGTTTTCATCTTTGGTGAAAGCAGGTTGCTAAAGCCAATTAGACAGGAGAGTGGGGTCTGACTTCAAAGAGAAGTCCTATAATCCTTCAAAGAAAGGACCTTTATAAAGTCATAAGACTATTTAGAATAATGAAGTTATTAAAGGACTAACAGAAAGATTATTATGGGTAAACTGAATTATGTAGAGAAAAGATTTATAAAAACTGTAATTCTCTGAATTATTAGCATTAATTATTGTCTATCTTTACTACCATTAATTACAGGCATTTAAATAGAAAATTATGTAAATTAGCTGTTGCACAAACTCTATCTTTTAAGATAGCAAAGGTAATAACTTGCAAATTAACAAGTGATTTGGGGGGAGTACACAATCATTTATTATTTGTATAACCATTTTAAGGTAATTTGATGTTCTTGGATACCCTGTAGAGTTATCCTATGAGTAAGGTTGATGATTATCAACTCATTATATTCCCACTTGCTTGAAGACCCAGAGCAAAGAAAGGTTAAGTGATTTCTATAAAAGCCACAGAATCTGTGCCAGAGTTGAAAACAAATGACATTAGTTTAGTTACAGGGAACACAAAACACTTCTTTTGTGAATTAGTATGAATTCATTCAACAATACGAAATAGTAACATCTTTTGGGGATGTCTCAATTATCAACAAAAACTGGTATTACCAAACCTTAAATTTTCTACAAATTCTTTTCTACAGAAATGCTGATTTGGGTTCTATGACTACTTTTACTAAGGAATCAAGTCATTATTTGGCTCAAAGAAGGAAGGATGGACACAAAGAAATTGGAAACATCACCACACTTTTAAATTTCAAGATCTAATTTTAGTTAAAATCAATGTAGAATATACATGCAATATAAAGAAGGAGATATTAGTTTATTTTAGGTTTTTCCCTCCTACTTTTATAAAGCCAAAAGCAAGTCTAACACAACTTTAAAATGGAGTCCAAATCACTAGAACCAAAATCCATCAGAGAGATATACTTAACGCTTTTAGTGTATCCTTGCTGAATTTTTTAAAAAGTCAATAACTCTGACAAATCCTTGGCTGCTTGACACTTCTTGTCAACAAAGAATTATTATCTTCATCTCCAGAAAGTCTCTTCAACTGATAATAACTTTTATTGAAACCTAATTTTTTATTTATGGAATTTTACCATGAAGTTGGTTCTCACTATTACCCAAGGGAAGACAAATGGAAAAATACTTTAGGTAAAAGCAAAATGATTAGTTAATAAATATCTATAATTAGAAGACTTAATTCTACTTTTATACTGTTAATTTGTAAAAGATTAAACAGAACCTACTTCCTGTTTTGAGGGAGACCCAATCACCCTGGATTAAGTGTTATGTTTAGCATAATGAATAAGGAAAATTTTGGTAGAGCCAAGTAAAACCTTCTTAGAAAATGTCTGGGTACCTTCCCTTATCATTCCTTACATAAATTCCTCATTGAAGATGCCTCCTATGCAGGAAAAATCAATTGATGTTGATGTTGGTATTAGAAAAGGATAATGAGGAGGCAGATCTACCCCAAAAAAGACCACACAATACATTAAATTTAAGAATAAATCATTTTTTAGAAATTTGAATATTGGGGAGCCTCCAGTCAATGCTTTCCATAAAATTGCGAAGTGAGTGCAATTTCCTGGGTGGTTTTTATCCTTTCAAGGTTTACCATTTCTCTGTCCCATTAAGACATCATTTTCTAGTCATCACTCACCTCTCACTTCTCCACACCATCCCCTTCAGCAATTTAAGGGAGTGTGAAAGTACAGAGGCTGATGGGCATAATAAACTCACGAAGCCCAGCACTCTAGACTGCCCCATTTTCTTTTGCACAGACCCCTCAAGGGGAAT